TCGATCTTGCCCGTGTTCCTGGGAATGGGCTTCTCTGGGTTCTCGTCCTCAAAGATCTGGGGCTCCATATCCTTGACTCTGTCGGCTTCATTATTAGCCGCGGTGTTGGTTTTGGAGGTCATGATTCCGGCTATTCCTTTGGCAGAGACTTCACGGAAGTCCAGACGAGCAACAAGAGAGGTGACAAGGAAGATTGAGAGACTGATGTGAGCAATACTAAGCTAGTTGCACCCTGTCGAGCGAGGTTCATTCTCGATTTCCCCACGGGGTATGGAGCTCTTATGTATTCGCACAAGGCGGGGATGCCCAGACCTAATCCTCGTGGAATGACCTCCAGCCTCCGTCCACGTTGTGCTCCATGTCGTGCCCGCGATCGACTAGGGACATAGGCTCGGCGAGTCTTGGGTTGCTTGCACCCACACGTTTTCATCACGAAATCTCACTTATTTTGTTTCTGCCAAGTCACGTCCGACATGTTCCGAACACCAACGACCACGCCCTAGTCATTTCCAAGAACGAGAAGACTTTGCCCAGGCGGGCGGCCAGCGATCCTGGAAGCGCGCAAAACTTGAGCTGGTGGTGTACATCGCCTAGCTGGCTGCTATTATAAGCGTTGATAGGAGTCAAGACGAATCACTTTGTGCTACAGGAGATGGTTACCAAGAGATACCAAGCTTGGGGAATGTGACATTGCCTTCATTCTACCCTTGACTGCCCATGTGTCTTGGCAAGTAGTAGCGTGCCTCTCCTCAGTCGCTTCGTGTTATTTTGTTTTGCACAGTAGTGACATAGACTGCCGAGCGAGGGATGAAAATCCCCGGAGGCATGGCTTTGAGGATGAATGTGGTGGGCCTGATTCTTGGCCCTGCGGCTTGATGACTCGTCCCGAGTTGACAACATTATGTTGCTCATATAGTGATACGAGTTAGAAGGGCATGATAGGTGAGACGCCCATACCATGCCTCACCTCGGCCGCCACATTCACTTGAGGGCGCCCGCACCCGGTCAAGTCGGGGTGGGCTGTGCATGTGTCTCCGTCCGGGGAAGTGGGAGGTCGGTGTCTGACCTGGGGAAAGTGGACGCAATCAGTATCGCGCTAATCCAGCTTTCCCCGCGTTCCTCTTTACTGGATTGCTCCAGTGCAGGTTGAGCATGGTGGCGCGAGTTCTTTGGGAGAGGGGAAAGGTTCCTGGGTCGAACGACGCAGCTCAAGATTGGTCGTGGAAGAAGGTGGGCCACCCCGACGATGGTTCCCTGCGTTCTAGAATCCATACCTTCACCAACAAGCGCTGCCGAGAGCGAAATGCGCTCAGGGCCAGGGAGATGGCGCACCGCCAAGTAAGGCCAACAAATACCAACCTTGTTTCAAGCCTAGTTGACGGAGCAGACGAGGTGGGAATCACTAAATTTTGACTTGCCTAGGACGGTTTCCGGGTGTTTATCTACGGTGGTGTGCTCGCGCAAGCATGCATTCCTGTATCTACCTCACCTCACGTTTGCGTTGTTTTCTGAACTATGATAGGTCGTATCAGACGGAGTTCAAGCCCTCATTCTTGGCGAAAGCAGGTATGTAGGTCGGCTGGTCATGATTTGGCTCGGCACTTGCGCGAGCGGAAAGCTTCGTTCTGGCGCAGCGCACTAGAACACTTGGATTCAGGCTAGAAGGTTGATTTAGTCGGCTCCTTGGTGGCCAGGGCGAACCATTTTGAACGAAGCCTTCCTTACAGCGCTTCTACGGCGTCTAGTGCGTCACGCTACGCTGGATGCACAACAACTATCAGAATCACAGCGGGCGTAGAAGCCTGCTAGGAAGCTCGTATCACGAAGTACATGAAATATTCAAGGTCATATGCGTCTGGGATTACAGTGACAGGGTGGCGCATCTATTCAGCGAGGTCCGGGTGGAAGATGTTGAGCTTAGGTTTGCAACACGCCTGTTGGTGTGAGTATGTCCGCCGTACCAGTTAAGGAATGCCAAGAATGCATGTTCGCTCTCTTCAATGACACATCAATGGAGCAACTATCGGTGGCATCCATGCAGGATCGAGTTGCGAGCATAGCAATGTCCAGTGCGGATGCAGAAACGCGGGATCACAGGTGACCATCCACGAAGGGTAGTCTGACCTGTCCACCCTTGCAATGCGTTGAGCAACGAAGGAAGCCCTCGTCGCATTTGTGCCGTCTCAGCTCCATCGGAGTGGGGGCCTCACGGTGAAATGCTGGAGACAGGACGAACGCCGTGGGGAAGATAGTCTCATTTGGAGCTTCAAGGGGACCGTACCGGTGGCGCGTCCCCGGGATTGCCCAAACACGAGATTGACAGTTGACAAGCGACGCGGCGATGATTCCCCGGGTCTCGAGCCCCATAGTGACCCTTACCGGACCCTCTGCTACTTAGGTACGGAGTACACAGTTGCAGTCGAGATAGACTGGGATAGCGTTCGGCTCGTTCTAGTCGTCCATTCGGGATATCCAGGCGCATTTCCCCAGGGCTGCCAGCCCAGGCCCGATTTAGTGCTTGACCGGCGCGGCGGAGGATTGATATGTCGGTGACTGTGTGCCTATGAGGCATATTCTCCCCCGATGTCGTGCTGGTGCACTCCAGCCCGACCTTAGAACAATGGAATGGTTCATCTCTCGACAAGATTGTCTTGGCTGAAAAGTAAAAAAGGCCACACACTATCCGTACGTGTAGCCAAGAGTGCCCAGCGTCAGAAGGCGTAGCTGGGCATGCAGACGCTTGCTCTCGGTGTCTTGGCAAGAGGGGTGGAATAGACATACTGCTACCCGCAATTACATGTAGTTGCACACCATAAGAACAAAGTCTCAGGAGGGCAGATCAGAGTCATTCAAGAACGAAGGGTCAAAATGATTTACCAAGTGAGGGGAGAAGCAGAGGAAAAAGGTTGAGGTTAATTATATCGCCAGATCTTCCACCCGCGGGCCAACTGATTGGAGAGACGCAGTCAAAGCCTGCATGCTCATAACCATGACATTATGTAGAATGGACCGGGTCATCGCCGCCCTCCCAAGCGAGGGACTCTTAGCTCCAGAGGAAGAGGTCACCACTTCCCCGCTCATCGCCGGACGACATGTACATCTCTAATATACAAAACGTCTGGCTTGCTTGCAATTTGCGAAGATCAACGCTTGCTAAGCTCTATCCAAAGGATGAGATCAGGGAATGAATTGTCATGCGTCCGCCCCCTCGCCTCCCCCAATTTTACCCCATTCCCACTCTTCCCCCTCTTTGTTCCCATAGTTGGCGCCAAATAGGACCGCCAAGGTCATCCTATCCACAAGGGTCAGAAGAAATTAAGAATCGGTGACGCCGGAGTGAACGCCGTTGGTGGCTGCGGCTGGAATACCGGTCCAAGAAACGGCTTGGCTGCAGCGCGCCACCATAGGTAATGCGATGGATTCCTGGTGTATGTCAGCCAATACCATGGATCTGAATTGTTGAAGCTCCTCTCAGATATCCCCACGGGGAAGTCGCACGGATTCTGGCTCCTGGGGTGAACTGGAGAGAAACCGCTCGGGGGACCATCGTGCAAGCGGGGGCGGGCGCGTTTGATGCGATATTTTGTGCCGACATCTAGACTGAACAGTTCATGTTCGGACGTCAAAAGTACGGATTCATTTGGCCACTTTCTGGCCATTCTACTTTCGTTTGCTTTGTCCCAGGTGTGCTCATCCTTGACCGTGTGCTTCGTTGAAGAACCACCTCGCGCGTCGAAATACGATCTTGCCAGCGTCATCTCAGCATATCGCTGCTGGTCCTACACGATGTATGCGCAATGTGCATGGTGTATGCACCAAATGAAATGTGTCGATAGGCTATCAGATTCCACAAAGCGAGACAAGTCTAGATTCCTGACGCTGCAGCCTTGCATGCCCTCGAACCGAGAAAATTCGTACTGTTCAGAAGCAGCCATGCCTGCTTGACCGGCGTGCGAAGAAGGTATTGCGACTGAACATTCATCCGAGACTTATGATTGCCGAAGCTTTAGGAACAGACCGGTAAATGCAAGATACTTGTATTCAGGTTATGGAAAGGGATTGTGTCGTTTCCTTCCCATGTCAAAATTCGACAGAAGCGCACCCACGTTTTCGGACAGACAGTTCGCAATCTCTTCAGGATGCTGAACCGGGCTGGCGGCACGTTTTTCTTTTTTTTGTCAGTATCAAGAGGGATCTCTTATTGGTATCGACGTCTCGGCGTTTGGTAGCCTAAATGCTTGATCGAGTTCACGCGGTTGCCAATGTATTGTCATTGACTTCCGGGCGACCTTAAGCTGAGAGGTCACGACAGCAAAGGTATTTGTTCGGTTCCGTAAGCCCGCCAAGTCAATTAGCATCGGCCAAGAGTCTGCTAGCAAGGGGCTCGAACCTTGTGAGCGCCTCCAGCTTGGTCTGTTCCGAAACTTTCCGTTCAAGAGGCTTAACATGAGATGCCTTGCCCCTGGACTTGTATATCAATGTACCAACAGGCTTTAATCGCGCTTTGAACGAACTCCAAGAAGGCAGATCTACTTTCTCGAGTAGGAGAAACGACTCCCGGCCTGCCTATGCCTTCGAAGTGAGAGCATTGTCACGCAAGGGAGCAACGCTGTTGTCACTCAGAAGCTGGTATTAGTGTGACATGAGCAAGTCCTTGCGACCATCACTTTAAGCAACCTTTCTTTTGAGTATCAACTTTAGTATTTGAACGTTTTGATCCAACTTCCAGGGCATTTCGTCAAATTGACCATGCGGCGGAACCTAGCCCATCCGATGCAAGGCCGCTGAACGAGTGAGTGTATCATCACATGTTGGAGAAAGGTTCATGAGAAGCTCCTTGCACAATATATGAAAGTCTAGGCTATTGAATAGCTATCACTACTCTGAGTGCTTTTGACAAAAAGTGAAAGTGTCGGGTCAGACTAACTTCACCACGCAGTCTCTACCATTTTCGACTACATAATCCTCTGTCCCGTCGCCATCGCAGGCCAATATCAATATCCCGATTCTTTCATACGTCCCGTCGCCTGAATTTCATGAAGAATGATCCTCTTTGGTCTTGTCTTTCTTGCATGAACTGCTGACGGCGAGAGTGTCTCCATCTCCATACACCTGTCGAAGAACGAGAGAAAATACTTTCGTCGGCATTTTCTTATGACCTATGCCGTTCTTGTTCCGAAGTTCGGGCTCTCTGCACAAGTGTAAGAGATAAATGGTGCTGCCAAGCGGCACACAACCTTTGCCCGGCGCCCAGAAGTTGTAGTCAGGAGCTATTTCGAACAATGTGCTACCGTGTAGAGCGAAATAGGTCCGTTGAGGAGCGGCCACTTTGCTCTCCCCCTCACATTCTAGGCGTGCTGTAATCATTGGGCCGAATAACACTATGTGGCCCGAGATGACCTCCATCGTTGGATCTGCTCCCGCAGACTTCGTTGAAGCTTCAATGACCACTGTTCTTTGCAATTCCGAGTCGGCTTCTTCCATAAACTTGGGTGCCAAGATCGTACGTAGGTTGGAATAGTGTATTCTTGATGTCACAGACGCCCATGACCACGTCGGAGCCGTCCAAGCGTCTGGTCGAGGCAGAACGCTTTGAGTAGCCTGCCAGGCGAGATCGTCGAGCAAGCTGTCTTCCCAGACCCCGGCCAGGTACTTGTCTTTCCTGTACCTCTGCATGTCCTTTACCACGCCTGCAATGACCGGAAGGATGTCACTCTGATAAGTGAGCCTCGTCCTTTTGTAATTCTCCACCGTACTGCGCCAATCCGGATACAGATCTTTGGCCTTAGTCGCAGATGACAAGTTGCGTACGTGAGCACCCTTGGTATGCGCCCATCTTGGTTCGGTGTCGTAAATCGTGGTCTCTCCCATACACTCGCAGGCGCAGACCTCGTTACACTCCCAAGCCATCTCTACATCACCAAGGTGTAGAATTCGGGGAGACAGAAGACGCTCTTGGAACACCCAACCACGGTTCAGCAAAGGGAAGTCACCGAGGCTGTAGTTTGGTTCACCAGATGCGTCGGAGGAGAAGAAGTGCGGAACGGTCCGTCGCACGTTTGCGTGCCATGTCTTTCCCTTGCCATCGTGATGTTCTACCCTTTTTGCCTTGTACTTACTTTCGCTTCTGGTGAAATAGCTCTGGTGAGGGTTCGAGGATTTTGTTCCCAAAATGGTGACATGAGCGCCTTGAAAAACCGAGGCCATATGCGCTGCCTCGGCCCTCCAATCGTCCTTGTCATCCTGAACGATACAGAGCGAGTCAATCCAGATGTAGCGGATTCCCAGCTTGCGAGTCAGTCTGATAGCATCGCGATACCCTTCAGGCAAAGATGACCAAGTGATCCGGTGCATATAGGACTGATATCGATGTTTGGTCAAGCGGATATCTATAGTGCCTCCCCAGCAATAGCTCAAGCAGATATATCTATCGCAAGTACCTTGGGTCTCGTGGAGTCGAATGTCGCTGTCAGTTGTCTCTTGTGGACACTCGCCGTGGCCATCGAAAGGACCTAGGTCCAGCACGCGGGTCGGCATGCGGCTGTCATTATCTGCGACCCTACATAACGAGTGATGTGAAATGCAGTGCCCCAGACGAGTTTGGAACCATTGAAAAGCTGCCTCGGAAGATGTGTCTCCAGAGATGTGGTAGGCGAGGCCGACGGAGTCCCACGATGCGGGCTCCTCTATTGCATTGGCATCAGAAAGGGTCTGTAGATACACTCGACTCCGAAAATCAACTGACCTTCAGTACCGAAGAAGTTGAGTTCGGCAACTACTTCGTCTCGCAACTCCGTGGAGGGGACAAAGATATTGCCCAGGTCTAGATGGCCGCTCCTGACAACGATGACACCGTACGCCCCTGTCATCGTCGCTGATCTCCTGTTCGTTCGGATAAACTGGCGTCCAGCACATCCCGAGTTCCAGTTCTCCATCACTGAGACTTTTGAGCTGTTGGCAATGTGCCTTGGTAAACATGCTCGCACGCCAGCGTTGATGATGTTGCAAGACGGGCAGCCAGCTATGGCTCCCTTCTCGATATCCGTGATTGGAGAGAAGAACCCTTCGTCCATCCCTCCACAGGTCATGCAATTTCCAGTCCGAGGGTGACGGTGTATTTCGGCCTTTCGCATTCCTACCTTGGCGAAGAAGGTGTCACATTTCTTCGTCAAGTTTAAGGCAACAGTGCTAGCTCGGATGAATGGGTTGTTTGATTTGCTGTCGAAGAAATCATCGTCTGAATCCGAGTCACTGTCCGAGTCGGCCTGCTCCTGATACTGTAGCCAGTCGTTCTCCTCGCGGCTGACATTCTTATCGTCAGTGTCGACTTGGAGTGTTAATCCCATTGTCTATCGATTTAATCTTCAGGTGAGTGGAGAAATAGAATGGGTCTGACGTGCTGAAGACTGTATGAGAAACACCGGGATCAGTGTATATGGCCGGCTTGAAGCATTAGATAGAGGCATCCGAGAGCGAGAAGCCTTCATTTCAAGTTTCCTGAGTTTGCACTTTGTGGGACACAACTTCATGGGATAAAGCGCCAAAACATCACGCGCGCGCTTCATCCCTGTAACGGTGGTGGCTGTGCGCAAAATGCAAAAGCTGAGATGGCGATCACTGATAATGTTGGTCGCTTCATGGGCCTCAAGTTCAGCTGGAAGGACTTGGGCGAATCAGCAACAGCCACCTTCCCCAGGCGACTAGCGAATTCTAATACAAGCGCGCAATCAAGAGTCAATTTGATCTGGACCTTATACACCACATCTTCCTTTGCACATTTCTGAGGAATCTGATGCCAGTAGGACGATCCAAATTGACAGTTCAACTGATAATGACCACCCAGCGAAGGATCAAGCGCTTCGTCCCAGGCGCGTTCAGCGTGAAGCATTCTGAATTGTGATTTCCCTAGGATCATGTTTGCCATCAAGTACCCCGCCAACGGAAACATGAGACTGAGCAGTTGTGGGTGAATTTTGCCTGTAGTCAAGATGGGTATCAGGATGCTCTACCTGTATTTGTATATCAACAGTGATTCTTTGTCAGTGTTCCTCACAATATGGTCTATAGCTTCAACTTCGACAGCGCGAAGGGCAAACAAGGGTCAGCTACATTAGGCGCATGCTCCGCCCATGACCAAGATAAGATAACCCAGGATGACAAAGTAAACAGATAGATAAACGCCAAGTCCTATTGAGTCTCATCAAAGGCTTGACGGACTCCATTATCTGACTCTTACGTAGTATGAACCAGCAAGCAACCACGTGCGGTCGGTGTAATCTCGAGTGAGTACGAATACTGACTCCGGGCCTATTGCCCGCCGCCGACCGTTGGACAAAGGTCCCAGATCGATCATCCACGTTTCTTTTCGGGGCCAATACCCACTCTGCGCTCCACACGTATCCATGTGCGGGCTTGTTGGACCTTGCGACCTACGACGGCCCTGATCTGACTGCTGGATTGCTTGAGAAGGTCTTCATGCGTGTTGCAACTTGCGACCCTAGTTGTGAAAGTGCGATAGTCTCGGAATCGCCCTCGGCAGAAAGGAAACCAGAATCGCAATGTCGCGTCTGATCGTCTCGTCACCCATGGGATATGGTCCCGAGAGTTCGATCCGGTAGTCTCAAGTTGCGACTTGGAATGCAGCGAATGGTCCGTCAACCAGGTTCAGACATGCCAGTGATACCCGGACAACACGTGCTGTCCATTATATCACACTCACTAGGCACTATAACAGACACTATTTTAATATGCAAAATTCTCAGGTATGGTTACAGCGTTGGTCGATGGACGAGTCAGGGTCACCACCTCGGTTTACCCATCCGGCTAGCAGCGCAACCTTGTGCTTCCTCTGTCGGTCCACGCGATAGGCTTTGACCAGGGGTTCGTTTCGAGGAGATGGAGAATCCGTCCCAAAGGAGACCCCTCGTCGGGAACGAGTCATCTTCCCACGCAATAAGACAGCATTTCTGTATAGGTTTCCGCGTCGGATGGCGAGCTGGAAAAGAAACCATCAACAGAGCCTCCCCACACGGGGCTGAGATTCCCTGCATCTGCACTGCATCTGCAGCTTCCGACGGCGGGGGGATGCACAGAATTGCGAGACGGGGAGACGGCTGGGCGCGCATCAAAAACGTGGTGTCCCCTCGTCTGAGCTTAAGGGAATCTCAAGAGATCCAAGAAGCTCGGTCCCTTACGCTTTGGTTTCTTGTGGAATCGCCATGTACGGATGACGTCGCGGCGCAAGTGACTGTCGTGATGGTATTTCAACTCCCGGCCGCTGTCGATGCCGAAGCTGTCGCGGTGATATGCTACTCCTTCATCTGCTTCTTCTCTAATATTCTACTGGGATGGCTTCTTTGGAAGCACAATGACCGGACAAGTTGTAGGTTGCCGATCATCTTCTCTCTCCAGTGAACTCTCTTCCAGAATTGTCTGGCGGCCGGTCGCAAATTATCTTACACATGCTTCTTAGATATTGCCTGCATCTCCTACGCTACTCTCATCATCACGACGACGAGTATATGCCAGCAGTTCTACGACTACGCCTACTGGCGAGACATTCTGACGGAACAATTCTACTATGCGAGACAAAACGCCGATAATGCGGAGGTGCAATACCATAAGGGGTCCCAGGGCATCAAGCTCGTCCTCAGCTACGTTCGTACGTGCATGCTCTTTTGTCGGGGGTTTCCTTAAGATATGGAGCCCAAGAGCAACCTATCGGCCTTGTTGACCGGCGCCGCTGACTGAACTGACCGGAACAACAGGCATCTTTGGATTCACCATTGCATCGACATTTGTCTTTTTCTTGTAAGCCCGATGCCAAAGAGAACACCCTCTCCCCAAACAACAACAACAACAACAACAACAACAACAACAAGAGGTATTGCGTTTCTAACACGAAGAAAGTGCGTTATCTCTAGCCGCTAGTGTCTACGGATGGTTCGCGACAACGCCGAGGACAACACACACCATTTCCATTGTCGGAAGAGTCTTGCCCATCATTCTCACCAGTCTCACCGTCGGCCTGATGCACTCTCCGCCAGCCCAGAAGTCGTTCCTGGTGTACATGTTTGTTGCCAATACACAATTCGTCCTGAGCCTTTTTGGAAGCGCTGTACTGCTGCTCATGATCCTTTTGAAATACGTCCACTCGCGGCGGAACCTCACAAGCTGGAACGTGCTCTACGGGAACCCGGACATGAACTCTTCGCTACCGAGCAGCAATAACGGCGGTGGCAGCGTCAAGGCACGGTCCGTCTGGTTGGGCAGTGGCTCAAGCCGCGGTGGGCGAAGTCGGGCGTACAGCGGTGCTGGCACCAATAACACATATGACAGTTGGTTGGTGATCCGCCTATCGATCGCCTTCGCGGTGCTCTGGTCAGTCACACCACATCCGACCGGACGGCCGCGCACACGGATATTCTAACCTCACGCCGGGACGAATGCTAACAGTGGGACATGTATATGCAGTGTGTTTGAGTACACAAACGTGATACCGCGCATCGCCGCGGCAAACCACACCATCGACACCGCCGATAACCTGGAGCCCGATCTCAGCGTTAGACGAGCACGTTCCAGTATCAGGGGATACGTCGCCGGCGTGACACCAAGCCTGGTCGCCTTTCTCGTCTTCGGGACGACCAAGACGTTTCAATGCAAGATTTACGACACCTTTATGCCAAAGGGATTCTCGAGGCGGAATAGGCAGAAACGAAACCTGTCCCTCTCTTTGAGGGACTCGGCCGCCGCGTCCCCGCCCCATCCACCAGCTCGGCGCCCGCAGCAAGTAGACGAGTTTTCCCTCGCCGACATGAGCCCAAAGTTCCTGCAAAGCGGCACCTACAGCCCCCAATTTCCGTCTGGTGGCAACGTTAGTCCTAGGCTACCGTACGGAAACCATGCAAGCCCTGAATCAAGTCTCGGCACGCCGAGGGGTGTGCTCCCGCCTAAGGCTCACATCAACCATGCTGGACAATTTCTGAGCCAGGGGGTCGGCGCTCCCAATCCGCGGACACACAGCGCTAGTTCCAGTCCGAGTCTACAGTCAAAGTTTTCAGTATACGGGCGCCCTGAGGCACGGGTCAAGGCTCTTCCTCGGACACCATACAAATAGGAGCTGGCTGCAGAGTTGGAGGGGCGGAGGGCGGTCAATTTCGTCCAAGCTTTGTGGGCAGTGCAACAGAGTTACAGGCGTTAGGATGGGGACAACATCACATAGATACCAGGCAGAGCTTTGACGGTTGAACTTCAGTAGAAAAGCAATTCATTTCTCCCGCTTTATGACCGCGTGTCCCTTGTTGCGGATTTCTCCCAATCACGGAGCGCGCAATGTACCTCATAGACCATACAACGTCTAATTTACATGTAGTCTGGTGAATCATCGGGCTGATTTAAGCCAAAGAGTCACCCAGCTAGTGGTGGTACGAGAAGAATTATGGGAGGCTATAGCCAGGTTTCTTAGTCTCACAGAATGAAAAGCCTTTTGGGTTCCTTATGAGCCTGTCCATCCCGGCGGTAAGGATTCGAAGGCTGTGAGGCGAAGGTGTTCCCCTGTCAGGTACAGGTCCCTGAATTATGCCGTGTGATATGTTAGGGGTCACCTGGAAGTAAGCCAACTTCCCATCTTCATGGACGCAGTGTGGGACACTAGATGGAATGCTTCTCATTTCAGCTAAGCGTAACAAGAATTACTTCTCATCTACTCTGTAGCGGTCTAACTGAATCAAAATCCTAAGCAGCTACGGATGTCTCGTTCCGGCTATATTTTCCATTAATACTTCTTGGTCTCTGTCGTCTTCCGATGACCGATGACGCCTAGAAGCTCATGGAACGGGTTTCAGATTACGGTTCCGTATCTGACTCTGATAGTCCCAACTCATATATATCCACCGTAAACCCCTCCCGTGACATCCAGTCGTCTTCGTCTGCCCTAGATAGGGGCAGCACAGTCTCCAGGCTCGTCTCGGATAACATCTGCACCCAGCGCATGGAGTGCGCATCGGGCTGGAAGTCTTGGCATACACGGGAGAACCACGCCGCTTTCCAGTTGGCCATGGTCAGCCACTGATTTGTCTGGATGATTTGTCCAACGTCGCACAGTCCATTCCAGCTCCCACCCAGAGGAAAGTTGCACTTAACAACAGACCTACCGGCAACAATGTCTACCATGGCCCGAGGAAAGTCCTCAAGGATGTACCACCTGTTATCCTCCAAAGTTTGGAGGGGTGAAGACGTTGTATAATTCTCTCGTCTGACATCCCAGGGTAATTCTGGAAGTTTCTTGCGCCTTAGGCAAAGGTCGATTGCCCTTTGCCAAGCAGCATCTCGCTGAATTACGGTTTGGAAGATGTTGGGGCACGTGGAGTCTCCTTCAAAGGTCAGGGCAAAAGAGCCGCGGGGCATGCCTGCATTCGCTAGCTCCACGGCTTCCGTGATCCAGACGGCGGCACGATAGGATATTTGGTGTGCAGGCAGAGAATCGTCATCCTTTGGGGGCATGACGGGGTCTTTGGAGCCAAATATGGTAGTTGTCTGGAAGACTGTCCGCCACATATCAACGCGGCGGTCCACGAAAAGCAACGAGTTTTCCTGACAATATGGGATCAATCCCATGGCGTGGCACTCTGCGAAGCCAACAGCCTTCCAATCCTCGTTCAAGACGATCCGCCGAATGCCCATCCTGGCAGCATGCGACAACGACTCGAGGAATCGAATGGCGACGGCGGCAGCCGAGTAGCGATGTTTGAGTTTACTGACTTGGTGTCCCGGACGACTGAAGCTCCAATTGCGATTGATATCTGACTCGACCCAGCAGTCCGTATTAGATATGGCAGCTTCCAACCATTCTCGGCTTGGGACTGCCCAAGGATTGGGGTTGAGATTGACCAAGCTCTCGAGGCCAATAGAGGACTTGAAGTCCGCATAGCAGTTCTTACGATCGCGTGACTGCTTTGTGTCGGGCTGTTGTCTGTGGTACAGGATCATCTGCAAAGCAGAGTGGAGGAAATTGCGGAAGACAGAGGGGGTTTCGCCGCAGGATCCATCCGGGCCTACATTGATATCCGCGACGTGCGCAAAATTGAAGTTTGCTTTTCTGTTTCTGAGAAGGGTCAGGTATGGGGCGAACTTCGGATGAGCTTCCAGTAGCTCTGCCCAAACCTCATCTGAACCTATACCGTCGTTGAGGCAAATGGCATCCAGCTCGCGGCCTCGTTGCCAGTTAAGCCGCTCAACCATCAGATTGAAACGACCGGCGGTGGTGCGATGTTTCTCCGAGTAGATGGTTGAAAAGGTGAGCGTATTGAGAGACAGAGGCAAGCCGTCGAGGTCACTTGCCGCCTTTTTACAAGTATAAATAAAGGCCAGATCAAGGGGCTCGTTCCCGGCGCCCCGGAGTGTGTTGCTGTCAAAGTCGAGAATATAGCCGCCCTTGACGGTAACGTAATGATCGTATACGAGGTCGCGGATCTCCCGCGGAAAGTCGAAAAAGTGAACCATTGCAAGCAGGAATGGCCCAGACGGCGAATGACAAGGTAGTCGTCAACTGTGTGGTTACAATGGAAGACGGGGGGGACGGATAGCGGTGAGCCTGTTGCTCTGAGATAGGTTGTGATGACCTAGTGATAGTGTAGGAATTCTGATCAGATGGGTTGCTCACAACTTGCGATGGGATGTAGGGAAGAAGATTCGGAGTGAAGGTCGTGTGGGAATATCACTACCTAAGTATTTATATATCCATGTCCGGTGTGTAGCACCAGTGCTCGCACCTGTCATCGACAGCACAGAGTTCGCCGTCGCAAAGACACAAAACTTTTTAACAAGCCACTTTGTGCCGCTGTGGGAACGGGTGCCGTCAGGCCGTCAGGGTACGTGACATGTACTCAGTCGGTGTCACTGAGATTCAATAATTGTGCCGTCAAAATGCAGGCATCGACATTTGAAATGGAATGGCAATTGTAGAGACATGGCGAGATGAACCGCCTACTTTGTGCATCAGTCTCACGAGAATAAACTGTGGTCCACCAAGATTATTGAGGGCCGAGGCGTGTGACTCACCGCCGAAGGTCATGGATGTAACTTGGGCATATCTAAGACGGGAGTTTATTGCAACACGGTCAGCACCATGGAGATATGGACTGATTGACCCCCTACATCACAATTGAACAGCACTGGAAAGAAGCTTTTTTTTTTTTTTTTTTTTGAGCCCTGCTAGAGGCTACTTTATTTGGTTTTATTTTATTTTACGCACTACGTGCGTAAAAAAGCTCACCCTGTATAAGTATATCTCTATATGTGGTTTCCCTTTAATGGTGTATACTAGCATATACGTATCTCGTTAAGTTAAAAAGTGTAATAGTACCCTGTAATACGCGCAGAGCTTCTGCTGGAAAAGGCACCCCTATGGGCTGGCAAATTGGATTAGCATGCAATGGCCAATGTTGCGTATGAAGACACACAGGTAGGTATAATGGGAGAGGGCGAGACAACCTACACGTCCAGCCGCACCACCAGCCACCTATCCTGAACTAAGGTAGCAGAGGTTAGCAATTGTCGAAAGGTATGTAAAAGGGGAGAAGGGGGGTGGGCGGACTTGCAGTTGTGTGGCGCAACACCCGGGCGGGCAGACGGCCTGCGACTAGCCACGGTCAGTAACGAGGTCTACTGAACCACGATGAAGTCGTTATTGGGTCGAGTAACAAGGAAACGTACAAGTCGTCTACTCGGTCACGGCTATGGACGGCACGCTAAGGTGATCAGCCGCGACTGTCACTGAACAAGAAATAAGAACAAGAACAGCAGTGAGAGCATGACGTAAGAGATACCAAGAGCATGAAGAGCACGAGAAGCATAATGAACATGAAAAAGAGGTATAGTGACCGTGCCAGTGCGGGGACTTACCGGCGATGCCGTCAAGGTCGGAGCCGCCCAAGGTTGCGCCGCCGTAGCTTTTGAACCTTCTGGCCCGCGTCACGCCGGACTACTGTATATTAGAAGCCACGTTGTTCAAGACCGATGTGGGCACCGTGGGGGAACCCTACTTACTCACGGCGTGACTGACGTGCCGTAGATGTCCTCACTAGCGGGGCGGAGAAGGCCAAACGGTTAGCCGGGATACACAAGTTGGATGTGCATTGCAAAGGGCCTTTTGGGCCCTCACTCACAACGTGATGCCAGATGCCCCGACGTACCAACATACCTTACAGAACCCTGATCCCCTCGAGGCAGATATAAGAGATCCGTCTGCTGACGAGATCTGGGTGGTCAGCAAGAGGATGTCGTAGCGACATGAGTCTTGGACCCGGGCGCGGAGTTTACTGACCGAGCTGTTGAACAGCGGGCAGATCCCTTCTTCCACATCCTCTCACATCCTCCTACATCCTCGAGTCCTCAAATCCTCGAATCGTCTGCTTCCACTCGCGGTGGGTTAGCGCCACGTAGTCCAACGGTGGGAGATGGAAGGCTATACCCACAACAACTCCACTGCTCAACCTTGCCATGTTAGCACAAGTGACGGGAGCGCGACTGACGACCTACACCACGAGCGACATACACCTTTGGGGTGGTCAAGTCAGTGATGGGCTTGTGGTGGATGACGAGAGGAAAGACGCGCCGACTTACCACGATGCGGACCACCCCACCCAACCCGATGGGCCTGGCTCTACCCTAAGGCATGATGTTAGCATTCCAACGATTGCGAAGTAATCTTGACAAAAGTCGACTCACTGCCAGTTTCTACGCCCCAGATCTGGCCTGCCGCCACCTGGGCAGAAAGGCCGTTGCCCGGGGCCTACACTACAAGCTCAGGGGCGCCTCGTACTCGACGGCGCCCTACTTCCCGTCTCTACGCCCCCTGGAGAGACGGGCTGGAAAGAGGAAAAGCCAAAAGGGTTGGCTAATGTAGCAAGCGCGTGAAGCGTCTCACGTGAATGAGGACCCAAACATACCCCTTCTGCTGTTCGCCGTGGACGTGCTGGAATTGGGCGGTTGCGACGTCGTGCCCTTCAGGATGTTCCTGAGCACGTTGTCGCTGAGCGCGAACTTTGCTCGGACTAGGGGCTGGTCTGCCGATGACGATGTCGCCTTTTTTGCCGATATCATGGTGACGGCTGCCCGCTCCATGAGGGCCCTCGGCATCTGACGCTGCTTGCGACGACGGAACTAAAGGTCAGCAAGATTCACGCACACAGGACAACCCCAAAGGGCTGCCGAAGGGAAAACACGGACTTACTCACAACCGGTACGTGGCGCGTGGTCGAGCTGTTGCTGCTCCAATACCCGTTAGCCACAGTGTCCTACGGTCCTCGGGGCGAACCGAACGCGGCGACGCTTACTGACTATTGTCGAGGCTGAACTGTGCTAACGGCAGACAGGGCTGCTGCGAGGATCGCAATCTGGGAGTCAGTTGAGCCTACAAGTCTGTGGCGCGTGAAGAGGCGGAGGGGGGGTGGGGGTTTCGGTTGCTCACGAACGAGAGGAAGGCGTTGTTGCTGGATCGGGTCGGTTGGAAGTGAAGTCTGCTGTTTCCGAAGCGGTCAGTAGAGGATACATTGGTTGAGGTTGTTCCATTTTTTCGTGGAGGGGGGCAGAGAGACATGGAATAGCGGCGTGATGTACCGGACGACGACGGCTCGTCGGCCTGGGGCGGAGGGCACTGACGGCTGCGTTGCCCGGAGCCAGCAGGCGCATGAGATGAGAACAGTATCACAAGGTGAGGAAAAGGCTCACAGACGACTGCTGGAAGTCGAGTGGTAAAGCACCTAGTGCTCAGTCTCTAAAGCCGTCAGTAAAAGAGACAGAGAGAGAGGATAGAGGGATGGTGTGTGGCGTACTGACAGTAATATAATTATCGTTTGAAAAGTTGAAAAGTTGAAAAGTCGGCTGCTGTCTTGCAAAAGAGTCGTCAACAGAGAAAGTCCTATGTACGCCCACGCCTACGCCGCGGAGGGTAAGGACGATAATAGAGAGGACGTTAATAGAGAGGATATTAGCTCAAGATAGTGCGCCAGTAGCAGCCCTTAGCTTGGGTAGCCAAGGAGAAATGATTGGCGTAAGAGCTTAGATGATGGAAATGTCCTCAACTCAAGGCAACAAAGGCAAGCAAAACACACACACACACACACAGAGAGAGAGAGAGAGAGAGAGAGAGAGAGAGAGAGAGAGCTTGAGTGTGAGAGATGACATACCAGTATGTGACCCTGAAAGGTTGTTAGCAAAGTGGTGGTGGGCGGGCGGGCCGCCATGAGAAGACGGCTACGCTTTTGCCAGTAATCGCTCCCGGTAAATCACTGTAATGGCCAGAGGCCTTCAGTACAAAGGATGTCTATTTTCTATCCAAGGCAAGGTACCTGACGTCTCATGATGTGAAGGAAAGCTACCATAGGTAAGGTATCCAAGGCAAGGTATATCACAGTGTCTCGTCTCAAGCCTACTCGACATCTTCCCTCCCCCTCCTCCTCCTTCTCTGCCTCCTGTTCTATTCCTCCTTTCTGGCCTCAACAGCGGCTCCGTTCTGCCCCGAGTTCGCAACGATTCACTCGACAAGAGAGCCAAAGGTGGGGTTGGGCATGTATCTCGCAGTCCAGCGAAACTGTTCGATCCCAAAATAACGAATGGCAAAGTCGCTGGCGCGTTTCGAATGGGTGGTGAGGAGGCTCCGGTAGGTGAAGTCTGGTATGCCATTTCTCAAGTGCTTCCGCGCAGCGCTGAGTCTCTTGCATTCCATGAAGAGGTGGTTCGCGTCGTGAGGTCTATTGTCTCCGCAAGGACATTTGTAGGTTCTCGCTTGCTGAGGGTGGATTAGACGTGAGAATGGGAAGAGTGAGAATGGGAAGAGTGAGAATGGGAAGAGTGAGAATGGGAAGAGTGAGAGGGAACAGAAAAGTGTAGGAGAAAAGAGACCACAGGAGGGTGTGGGGGAAAAGGGAGAGATAGTAAAGTTTTTCAGAAGCTTATGATTGAGGACACCACTCGGCTTACACACCACATCCAAGGAAGAAGGACATCATCTAGACACCTCAGAGGAGTGCAATCGAGGGTGAAAGATGCAATTGAATTCTTAAGTTGGCCCCTTGAACTGAACTTTGCATCCCGGCCTGCTGTCTGGTTAATCTGGCACCACATCAAGGGCACATCCTATCTCCATGTCGCTGCTGCTGGCACCGTCTACGGAAGTTGACTTTCATACAGTTTCTTGCTCACGATAGCCAGAATCTACATAGAAGCCAGCAGGCATCACCACCCGTACTTAGTCGCAGTCGTCGCAGAACGCGAGGCAGGCAAATTGACAGCTGGCCCGCTGAAGAGACTCCTGTCTGCCGGGTCCGTTGTAGGCTACACTTTTGTCAGAAATATGCACATCTCAACTGCTTTTCTCTAGAGTAGACTCACTATCGTGGCACTCGACAACGCAGTTGTTGCAGGTCCCCTGGAATGGTGCTCCAGTGCAGGCAGCGAGGACCGTGGGGGCCACCATGGCCGTGATAAAGAGGAAGGACTTG